CGTGTGTGTGTGTGCGTGTGTGTGTGTGTGTGTGTGTGTGTGTGTGTGTGTGTGTGTGTGTGTGTGTGTGTGTGTCTAAAGAGAGGTACCAAAAGTCGCCACACACCACTTGGAGCTACAGGATGACAATATGTGTCACCGCGCGGTGGAATCAGGCGCTCGTTAAAATAATGGAATCAAAGAAACAGGCTTTTTTTCACAGCTTGTCCATTTTTATCAAATTTTTATTTTTTGGCTCAACACCTTTCATGTCCATATAAAAGGCACATTTCAAGGGAATTTTATTCAAAAACATTGATTAAAGGCACAAAGTATGTAAATTTTCAGTTTCCAAGGACTCCCAAGCTATAGAAGTTACCAAACTTTGGCAGCCATTTTCTCCCTAATCTTACCTCTGAAACCAGGCGACCCTATACCTCCTTCAATCACAAATATCTAGACTTCTTTTTAAGATGGATATTTATATTTTTTTCATTGAAAACGACGCAAATGAATTAGCTTTCTGATGATATCTATAACTCCACATGGTTATAAATTGATGCGCGCCTGATTCCACCATGTCATGATACATATATAGTGAATATTCATGTATGATCATGACGTGTGCATGCATCAATTCAGGGATATGAAAAAATATAAATATACAGTCAAACGTGCTCGCGCGACCACCTGTAGAAAATAGTCAGCTATACAAAAAGCCACTTCCCATTTTCCCCTCAAACAATTGAACAGTTAAAACTCAATGTTGAACATGATGTCCAGAGAATCAGGCCATTCAAAACTCACATGGCATACCATACTGAAGCTTGTAGCGAGAGACGTGGTCAACACTTGGAGATTTAAATAGCCATCACCTCGCAGGGTTTATGTGGCAATGTTAATTTTGTGTAAATTTGTTCTTCACTGTACAAATAGTGACTATTTGAAATGAAACAATATTATGGCTGATTTTTAAGAAGTTGCAAAGTTTTGCTTTTCATTTTCACTCGGTTTTGGTTGAAATTTTAAAAACTTGATATTTTTCAAACATGTTGGCTGATTTTTTTCATACTTACAAATATATTGCCCCCCTGGTTGAATTTAATTTCTTCGAAGTTCTGTTGAAATTAGTCCAAAGACGACAGAGTTATTGCCCTTTAGATGGGTCCTTTTTTTTTTCGACACCCAATACTTCATTCAGATCTTCATGCCATCAATTATTCTTTCTTCAAACTCAATTAACAATCCTGTTTTCCTAATCAACATCAAAGAAAAGGATTTAAGATTACAGGAAAATTTGAGGATTGAGAAAGTTTGTCCTTATGATAGCATTGTTAATGATGAGAAATAACAGCATTCTTTTGTGAAGCACCAAAAAATGATGTTTTATGTTAAGAGAAATTTTATAATTATTATTACTGTGTATTGGCAAGGTATTGTCTTCTATCTAAAGAAACTGAAAATGTTTTCTATTACTGTATGTGGGTGGTTGGCGGGTGCTCTGGTGTGGTTTGCTCCTTCTTTCCTATCAAACATCTATCATTTTTATTATCTCCTCTCTTTCTATTTTATGAATGTTACTCTCTTGTAACACCTCTATTCTCCGGCACTTATATGACCTTATTGTGTTGCAAGTGCTGTAAAACTTTTACCAAAACTAAAACAATTACTGTATAATGGCTTCACTATCTACTTTGTTTTTTTCCAGGTGCCGAGAAGAGGAGGGGACCCTCCGTATACAGGAAGTCAAGCCAGGTCCTTTGTCCCGCAAGGATTTGTTGTCAGATGTAAGTGGATTCCAAACTGTCTGCTGTTTTTGGAGGACTCTTGCTGTTTTGGGGGGGACTCTTTGCTGTTTTTGGAGGACTCTTGCTGTTTTGGGGGGGACTCTTTGCTGTTTTTGGGGGACTCTTGCTGTTTTTGTGAGATTCTTTGCTGTTTTTGTTTGACTTTTTGCTCATCCTGTGGGATACTCTTAACCCTTCCAGCCCCAGGCGTGTATATTTTCAGCAGCGCTTGTACCTCCCACTGTCCCAAAAGGCGGAAATACCGAATTTGCGCATTTTTCGAAATTAGTGAACATAATTAAACTTTTATTTTCATAATATTTGTTCATTTACCTTAAAACATTGTTATACATTATTATCTAAACCTCATTACAAAGATACTACATCAGCTTTTAGAATGCATGCCTCTTTTTCTGAAATACTGCTGTATTGGCTGGGACTGGGGTTAGCGAGTGCAAAAAAATGGCTGAGGCTGGAAGGGTTAAAAACTGTTTAATACGTGTGTAGGATTTTTCAGTTTGAGCAACGGCCCATGCCAAGTGGTCTCTGTGGACTTGAGGGATTTTCAGCTTCTTAATTAAGGTTGTTTGGTCGGTGTGATTCATGAATGTCTTTTTCAGTGGACTTCTGTTCAGAATATCGCTCTTATTTCAGTGCTTTCTGTATTCTCAGATTGATCTTCACCCAGTACAGTTAACATTGAAATCAATGCTCTAAAAATTATAGTAATTATAATAATAATAATAATAATAATAATAACAATATAGTTATGTGAACTAATATAGCACCTAATGATCAGAGGCTGATCATTACCGCTGAACAATGTCTGTGAATCGTTTTGTAGAATATATTCAAGACTCATCAGAAAACTTCTTTCTACCATACCCATCATCATTTTCCTTCTTCTTACACAAAATGCAAAGTAAACTTGAGTGTATTAGGATTGCGACTGAGCCTCAGTCTCTGTGAAAGTATGTACACACTCATTGAAGTTAAAGAAAGAATCAGCACTGTCTAACAGTTTCTGTGGGTGGTTGGTGGGTTCTCTGGTGTGGTTTGCTCCTTCTTTCCTGTCAAACGTCTATCTTCTTTATCTCCCCTCCTTCTTTTTTGTGTTTGTTACTCTCTTGTAACACCTCTAATCTTCGGCACTTATGTGACCTTATTGTGTTCTTTTACGAAAATTTTAATGTAACAGTTTCTGGCTTTATTGTTGGAGCGATGGCTCTGCCTGAAGCAAAACAATATTTTATAACTCGTTTCTTCACTGTGGATATTTGTGGTTGATGTTTTTGTTTCATTTCCATGTAGCCAAACCAAAAATTCAGCAAGGTATGTCTTTTGCATGGTACTGAATCCACCAACTTATGCATTTTGTACTATTTGTTACGTTTCACCACTTTGTGCCAGAAAAGAATGCGGTCACAAACATTCGTTTTCATTCTTATTTATTTTTGGGGTATTGAGAGCGCATCCACTCACATATTCTACCATGTAAAACATTATGGCCTATATTATTATGCTCGCTTTTGTTGAAAGTTACTTTGATATTTACCGATCAATAGACCTACCAACCATGCAAGGTGAGAATGATCGCGCATGTCCTTTTTCTTTGCATGTGGTTTGGCAGTTCCATTGATGATTTCTTTGTTGAGTTTGTAGATGACGCTTCTTCTAGTGCTGCACACCGCTCAATGTCCTTACTGGGCTGAATCCATAGGAAAGCCATAGACGTGGGTGGTTGGCGGGTGCTGCCTTGTGTTTGTGCTGTTCCTGCTTCTTCTTGTCAGTGTGACTGTCTTCCTAATCTGTCTGTTCTTCCTAATCTGTCTGTCGTCCTAATATGGCTGTTGTAAAATGTGATAGCTGTCTCTTTGAGACTGGGTGGTTGGAGGGTGCCACTGGTAGGGCCTATACCTTTTTCCTCTCCCTCGATCTGTCGTTCCTGTCTCTTAGTCTTACTTTTGCCCCTGCACATAATTACCATTATTTTGTGCATCTCTTGTCTCAGAATTACCACATTTCTTTCAGACCTCTGGACAGTGAAGAGTTGTGGTGAACAAAGTGGAACCACTTCATTCAAAATTAATCTGAACTTTATGCTGGTCAGGCTATCTTATTTCTGCTCCTTTAGGGAGGGTTCCTATTTTAGTATAGTTTTCTATTCTCTTTTCTGTCCCCGGGGTTTTATGCACCCCACATTATTTAGCTAAATTTGATCTTTTTTTTTTCATAATTTTTTATTACTTTTCTTTATCACTTTTTGTTAAAATTAACAGAATTGCATAAATTCACATTTTTGGGCTCAGTTTGCATAATTTAATAATTTTTTTTGGCCTAAAATCGCGAGGAGTTTTTGTGCAAATGGAAACATGAGTTAATTATCATCTTTTTCATTTTGTCAAAGACCAATGCACTCACTTTTCTTTCTGTTTTTAGCTGCTAAATCCCCAAATCACCTCTTGTGTTTTAGGGTATTGTTTTGTTGGCTTTTGTCTTGGAAGTTTTGTTTTGCTGAGTCAGCTTGTTCAACACAACTGCCACAATATTGTTTTTGTTGTTTTTTTGCTTGCCAATACTTTTGTTTTTAGTTTTCCTTCTGTTGCTGTCTGGATATGGGTTACTGTAAACTCCTTGGTTTATTCAATTTCATGAAGTAAGCGAATGATCACTGATAAGTCTTCCTGCATCCAGCAGTTTTGCAGGGTTCTCTTTTTTTTTTTTTTTTTTTTTTGCAATGCTTCAATGTTAGACTTTCATCATAATGGAGACTGAATGCCTGAAAAGGTTGCTTGAGTTTTTATTATATTGCATGTGAAACGCATGGAGATTGATGGGGGCAAACAAGATTTTTTCCTCCACACACACGCA